AGATTTTCAGTACAAATCGGCAATTTCATACTTTAACCCCTATTATTTCTCAGAATGCAAATATATTTTAGAGAGCGTATTTCGGGTGCAAATGGTACCTAATGAACACTATTAGACCTCTTAAAACAAATTTATTTTTGACCCATCCTAACGCAGGGGTTCCGATTTTGTCTACCTATGTGTGTTTCCATAGCACCCGCGATGTAGGGTTTCCTTAGTGCGGGGCTATGAGTGTGTGCGTAATTAAAAAAAATGGATTTACATCATTGTACCAAGTTTTATTGAAATCTGTTAACGGAATGGGGTGAAATTCTATAAACTGGATTCATGTCCTAATCTGCCACCCTTAGAGGTATATTATTTTCTTCAAATTTCAATGGAACCACCCGAGGTACCGGTTTTGTAACAAAAAACAAATCATCGCAATCGATTTACAAATGTCAGAGGAATCGCGTAAGTACGTATATACTAAAAGTCCAAACGAATTGAGAACCTCCTCCTTTTTGTAAGTTAAAAACGAAATAAACAACACAATTACACAGTGATCACATAAGAGCGGTTATACACGACGACTTTTAGCAGCGATGTAAACGCGATGCAGTCGCTAATCGTCTACCTCTACACACGCGCGCGATTTTAAGCAGCGATGCAAACGCGATGCAAGCGGCGCCACTGCATCGATAAAAACGCCTATAAATCGCAAGTGTCGCGTGTCACGAACGCGCGTTTGTATAGCTGCTAAAAGTCACCGTGTGTAAGCACTCTAATCATAACTAATTAAAATCCCTTTAAGTGGATTGTGGTTTTCAAAAAAAAAGAAAATAAGAACGATTTAATATATTTTACCTTCGCCTGTACCAGTAGCTCTTTGAAGATTTGCGAAACATTGATATTCTCCTTAGCAGATGCTTCTACGAACCCATTCTCCCAGTCAACAGTCACCACCGATTCCGTCGTGTGGAACTCCACCTGTAAATCAATGGTGGTTGAATGATTCTGTACCGAAACAAGATTTATTCTGAATGAGAATGATAATAATGTTAAACTATTACTACACTATATTAATTTATCTCCAAATTCTTATTACTAGTACGAAATTAACAGGTCGCGACTTGTGCAAAATTGTGTGAATTGTCCTTTGTGTTCCTGATATTTCAATATGGTTTTTATATGGATGTTTAAAAAAAAAGTAAAGGTAATGGTATCGTTATATTGATTTAAACTTTCACAATTCTCATTCGTTATAATTTGATTTTAAAAATCAAGACCCGAACAAATTCTCATGGTCCCTTCGAGACTATGGAATTACAACTCGTATTTTTCTTCCAATCGCCCCATTATCAGCCGTCATTTTTACACTCACTTCTTTCTTATTCATGTCATCTTTCACACAATCCATACACATTCGTACCTAGCACTCTTCTCGTCACGTGATATTCTTCCCTCCGCATGACATGTCCATACCACGCTAACCTATTACTCCTCATCTTTTCCATCACTGGCGCCACTTTCAAATTTCCCCTGATGTACTCATTCCGTATCTTATCCTCTCTCGTCACTCCACACATCCATCTCAATATTTGTATTTCCGCTACCTGCACAATTCGTTCATCCTCCCTTTTTATCACCCAACATTCTGACCCATACAACATGACAGGTCTAATCACGGTCTTATATATATTCCCCTTTAGCTTAAGGGGAAACAGGGTCACAGGCACTATTCGCCGATCGCAAATAGTGCCTGTGACCTGTCGCCATTTCATCCATCCTGCATTTATTCTGTTCTTAACGTTCCGGTTTATCTCGAGAGTTTCAAATAGATGTAATAACAATAATAACGCACACACTCATAGTACTCAATATACTCAAAATACGAGTACGCGATTAAGTCCCGATTTTTAAAAATCGAATAATGGTAATAAATCGGACAAAACATGCGAGCACTTATATCGGGCTAGTTCAGAAAAATATAGAGTTCACGTCATACAAAACCGTCATTATGATGATAAAGCTATTGGATCCATTTTATAAATTTTCTTCGCAATAACAAAAGTCCTAAATATGAAATTACTTCATTTTTGTAGTCAACTTTGTTAAAACGGTGGTGGTACAAATATTAAAAATCGAGTAATAATTTATTCCATAGGTATTTCACTTGAAAACGTCATTTTTAAGTTACTGCTCCGTTCAAGTGCTGACTTCCCTGTGAAGTACGATCAAGAAACGCTAAGAGTTGCTTTTCAAACAAACTTAAATAAACTTTGAATCAAATTTGTGTGGAATCTAGAGCCATGTCGTCTTTAAATGCATCATTTTCTAACACGTAGTCTTCAATGTTTTAATATGAATTTTAAATTAAAATATATTCAATGCTGATAATTGAATGATAATGTTAATATATGTTCCGGAAAACAGAAAAAAAACGGAAACAGTTCCCTGTAAAAGAATCGGTGTATTGTATAAATGATCCATTTAGCTTTGTTACGTGGAGTCTTTAAAGTCAAGAACAAAAGTGAGAAATACATGAGAAAAATCTTAATATATGTTCCGGAAAACTGGAAAAAAACGGAAACAGTTCCCTATAAAAGAATCGTTGTATTATATAAATGATCCATTTAGCTTTGTTACGTGGAGTCTTTTAAAGTCAAGAACAAAAGTGAGAAATACACGAGAAAATAATTACGGATACACATGTCACATTTACTTATAATAACATTATCAGCACAACCCTTTGCGACTGTTATCCACTTGCAATTGTACACAGCACATGCACAGAAAAAATATACACAGCTGATTAAAATAATATGAATGAATAATATGAAATAATTGAAATAGTACGAAAAAATAGGAACTGTTAAAAATTAAGTGAATTTCCAAAAAATAAAAAAGAAATTGCAAACGCTGAAGACATCTCTTAAAATAGTTTAAGCTTTTTGGAAATATTAAAACAAAACATATTTGATAGTGGTACTCGAACTTATTCATTTAGTATTCACTCGAGGGTGATACGACGAGTAAGTTTTTAAAGATAATGTCGCTACAGAATAAACATCGTCAATAATTTCGTGCTAACATTGGTATTAATTTGAAGAGTTTCCGAACAAGGTCGTGGTTACGCCAAACAGACCACCCAATTTTACTAATCTGTCGATTAGCCACTTTACAAGCAAAAACGAAATTAATTCAAAATTGTCAGTGATAGTTAATGAACTTCTGTAAGATTTATTAGGGTAAGTAATTGATTTTAAGAGCTTAGTTTCCTGTTAGAGGTTGTATGCAAGAAGTGTGGTTAAAGCGTTATTTATTTTTAGGCTCTTAACTAAAGTTATTGTTTAAAAAATATTGAAACATAGTTCTAATACGAATATATATAATAGTATTTTGTGAATGAATATAATATGACAAGGTTTTATTTTTATTTAGTGCAGGCAACACTGTTTTTTTGCTCTTGAACACAAGGCTTGAGTAGTTCATGAGCTAAGAACTATTAGGACAGAACTCCTGATTATTACCGAAAGGAACTAATTTCTTGTGTATGATTTTATTAATTCTGTCATTTAGTTCAGTAGGAATGGGACCTTTTTGTGGACCCACAGACGCGAGGCGATCTTAATTGTCTTTTTAGTTCTTTCATTGTTTTAGTTCAAAGACGCGAAACGAGACTGTGCAAAAGAAACAATTATTGGACTATCATTGCTTTTAGTACAAGTTCGAGTGAGATGCACGATTGAACGTTGCCAGCTCGCTTAAGATCACAGAAATCTAAATAAATATTAAAATAATTAGATTTCTGATTTATAAATCAATATTTCGATTTCAGTAAGACTCAAATATAAACTTATACACAACAAACTTGTTTCATAGTTACTTTTATTTTCTTTTTCAAATTTAACACACTTACACACCATGTGTTGTGTAGTAAATAGGTTTTTTTTAATTCTAATGTTATTCTAATATGCATTTGACCTCCATCTCATCTGATGGAAATTGACGATGAGGTCGACAATGGTATGTTTATAAATAAAGTATATACGTATAAAATAAATAATGTATACGTATATACTTTGTCAATAAACATGCCTGTTTACTATAATAATAAACACAAACACAAAAATTATACATGTATTTTGTAATAAAATTGTAACGTAACATTTTAAAATAATTACAAACAAAATAATTGTAAATATGAAAATATTTTTTTGTAAAACACAAAAAGTACAGCAAAGAGGACAAACAATAAAACATTCCTATTTAAATCGTTCATACAGAGCATTTCATTCCGTGTCCTTTAAACCCAAACGGTTCCTATTCCTTTCCAACGCCCAGATCCCACTGAACTAAGGAACTAAAAGAATTAAAGGAATTAAGAGACCGAATTAGTTCATTTGTCCGAATGAACTAATTGGAATCGCTCTCTTTATAGACCGAGCAGGCACACGTCTATTAAAAATCATTGTAACAGCATATTTTAATTTTAACATTTTTTGTGAAATTACGTTAATTGGTATGAATCTAACTTGTATTTTATTTGTACAGCTATCAATATCTCTGAGTTAATTAACTATGGACTATATATACATATTTATTTAATATTCCATTTTCCGTTTTCGTTTTCATTATTTTACTAGATACTCATTTATGATGTGTTAAGATATGTATAACATATAATTTAGCTGCACAAAAGTGCGCTAACAAATTCCTTGGGAAATATTGTGGATAGCTTTAGTAGGAATATATTTTACTTTGTGGTAACCCGTATTGGAAGATTACCGTCAGTTTTCCTTTTTCTGCGCTTATGAAAATGTAGAGCTTTTATGTAGGTCTGTTTATAGGCTTTCGCATGATATGTATCTAAGTTGCAATATTTATTTTATTGTAGATCATGATGTCTTTACTACCGTGGTGTTAAAAATACCTTGATTTTTATATATACATATATACTGTACTAGTAAAAATATTTCACTAGTTTATTACTATTATTGATACAAAGATCTAATCTGTTGGTAGCCTCGGTGAGGCTACAGATGCTGGTTTGAGTTCAGTCCAGATACAAATAATTTTTCTTTGCATCAATAGCTATATTTTTTTATGATATCAAGTGACGAGACGAACAAATCGTGCGCCTGATAGTAAGCGACACGCCTGTTCATAACAGTTGCAGTTCCACTCAGAGCTTTATTTGCAAAGGTCTGAGGGGCAACATCACTGCACCTGTCACTTTGACACTTATGTAGAAAAGTCCCATGTGCTAGTAATTTCACCCTTTAAAACTACAATGCAGTAATGCTCACATTACTACTTGGCGGCAGAAATAGGTAAGATAGCAGTAGTTCCCTGGATAAACTCTTTCACACGGAGCTTATACTGCTATTAAAAAAAATATATCTATCTAATTTTTTTTCATGTTATTATATATTTGATACTTACTATTATTATTACTTACAAGTTAAAAGCCCAAAGTACGCAATAGTAAAAATAATGATCACAGAATAACATCACGACGCGCACAATAATAGCGAGTATTTCTCTTTAATACTATAATCAGTTAGTGTAGCTAAGGACAACGTTAATTTGTGGGTGACGCATCCGAGTGTAAACAAATCAATTACGGGGTTCGAACGGTATATCACGGAAGACACGTACAACATACCCTTCCTAGTATTTCACTTGATTTAGTGTTATGTTAGCTAGATATTGACACGTCAGCGGAAGCTCGCGCGAGTAATAAAGAAAAACTATATTACGAACCCTACCTGTTTCGGATTGCTACGATTTTCCGTCTACACGTTTTGCACACTGAAACGAACGTTCGAATTTAATCTTTTCGTATTTTTTTTCCATTCACATAGCGCGTTATGTATATAAAGCAAGTTAAAAGTAAATGGCAAACGACTGAATATGAGCATACATTTTCGTCTATTCCAGATTTTTTTAAAGATTATTTTGTTTCCTTTCCGGTTGTTAAATCG